CCTCCCCGGCCCGCCCGCCGGCAGCCGGAGCTCGTACCGCCCCCCCGCGGAGCCCCGGGCGGCTCGCTCTGAGCTCCAACCCGGCCGCTGACTGCCCGGCCTCCGGCCGACCTCCCCGCGCAGACCTCCGCAGCCCCGGCCGGCACCCCCTGCCCCAGTTGCCCCAAGGCCGGATCCAAGGATCTGGCTCGGTCCCCTGCACGGGCACCCCAGCCGCGCCCCTCCTTTCCCTAAGGACTCCAGCATCTTTTCAATCCCAACACTCCAGATCCTGCCCTCCAAACCTTGCTAGAAGCCTCTACCACACCCCAACTTTTGTCCAGACTGATCACAGAACCCAGCACCCTCCTCTCAACACAGAAAGTATCCCCTAGATACTCCCAACCATGAGGCCCCCTGAAATTGTCGTGACTCAGTGCTCCCGCCACAGGATATACTAGCACACCTTCCTGCCTCTTTCATGAGCCTTTCGCTCAAATTCCCCATCTTCATACTCCATTTCCTACCCCTTTATCTCCAAGACCTTGGGCCTTGGGTCTTGACTTTTCTGAGATCTTGGTAATACTCAGGTTTTACCTGCTATGCCCACTGCTACACTACATAGGTCAAAGCCCAATGGCCCATATCTTTTGGGGCTGTCATTCTCCCTAGTTGCTTCCTCTGCTTCTCGCCTCCATGCCCCAGGATGTGGTGTGAAAGTTGGCTGTGTCTTCACAATATCCAATAAAACATTAGCTATTATTAGTAGACCACCTTGCACACAGTAGGCATGCCATAAGTAAGTAGACAGATGCCTGTTAAATGAATGAATAATCGCCTCAGAGCTTGGCCTGCCCCACAACCAGTAATCAAGGGGATGGCCGTGCCCACAGATATCCTGTCAGGCAGAGAAAGAGCTAGTTCCAAATCCAGTCTACCAAATGTTCCCCTCCTCTTTCCCGTCAGGCAGAGAAAGAGCTAGTTCCAAATCCAGTCTACCAAGTTTTCCCCTCCTCTTGCCCTTGCCTTTACTGTCCCCAGGAGCCACACTCAAAAGGCCCTTCCCAGAAGTCCTGGTTGGGGAGGAGGGACAAGCCACTCAGTGCCCCCTCCAACCCACCTTCCACTTCCCTGCAGCCTCATTGGATCTTTTCAGGGATTCTCCTGAGCAGCAGGGGCCTGCCTCTTCTTCCTCTTGGCCCCATCAGTGCTTGTTTATTAATTATACTAATGATAACAACAGTAGCAGTGTGGGGCGGCAGCCTCAGACCCAGCTGGGGGTGCCCCCAGGCGGCATCACAGGGAGAAGCGCTGTTAGAGTTGGATGGCAGGGGCCTGAGCCTCCGTTTCACTGAGAGCTCAGGCAATTTTCTGGGGCGCTGTGGGTCAGCTTCAGGACTCTTTCCTAAAGGAAAAGCCTTGCTCCATTCCAGAATCCACAGTGTCTGAGCTCAGGCTGAGTCGGATCAGGGCAGGCAGACAACAGTCTGGAGCTGAAGCCAGATTCACCGGGGCCATGGCTACTGCGGCAGTGCGGTTGCTGCAGCCCTGAACTTGAGCACTTATTTCTCAAGGTCCTCTCCCCCACCTCTCCTCTCTGGAGGGGACTTCAAGTTTCCAGTGAAATGAAATTGTTGACTCTGGCTGACACTGGGAAGACCCCCTCCTAGAAGGTGTTGAACCCAGAGTCCAAACCCAGCCTTTCACTTCCTTTTCACCCCTTATCCCAACCCTCCCCGCCAAAACCCATTTCCTGAAATCTGATGAGAATCCCAGCCCAAGGACCATCCTTTGCTACCAGGCAAAATGGGCTTCTGGAACATATCATGAATACCTCTGCATTCTCCACTCACAGCCTTGACAAACTTCCTACCTCAGCTGCAGAGCTGAGGCACATCAGTCTCACCCTGGGGCAGCATATTGTCCATGTGGGGCCTGGCACCCTGAGTGCCTGCCTCCTCTACCCCTGCTTCTGAACCCCTCTCGATTCCTAGTATTTCTACTTGCAGGGTAGAGAGGACTGTGGGGTCCTGGTCTTCTGACTTTCCAGCTCCTACACAGCATGCTTGCCTTCCTGAGCCCTCACAACCCACTCTTCTTACCCATCTCCCCCATCTTTCTCTCTCTCTCTGGGCACAGTAAAGGAACATACTTTAAGGGTATGTGAGCAGGTGTGATTTTGTGGAAGAGGTGTGTAGGTGGGTGAGAGGGTGTGCATTGTGATGTATGAGGGAGGGTGTGCATTTGTGCAAACTCTAAATGTGACTGACGCTTTGTGGGTGGATGGGGAGAAGATGTGTGTGTGTGACTGGAGGAGGTTGGCTGCCTTTGCAAATACATGCCTGCAAAAATCTCCCTTCCTTTTGTAAATGCATTGCTTGGAAGGAAACTAATCGAATCAACAGGAAATGTATTTGACCTAATGTATGAGCAGATGTCCTAGGAGTTCCTGTCCTCAGAACAGAAGCAGAGCCAGTTATGATCTCTCCCAGGAGAGAGGAAGGGCCAGCAGCAGCCCCTTATTGTGGGTGGAGCTAGGTTGGGCCTTGGCATCACCCTACTCATGTGAAATAAGTATTTGCCCACTCTCTGCCTTTTAAAATCCATGACTGTCCAAGGAGGCCAAGGAGCCAGAGAAGACAAAGACAAAACTGGAAATAAGAACCACCTGCCCATAGCAGCAGAACACCTTGACGGCAACTTCCAGCAGACTCAGGAAGTAGCTTCAGCTTTCTCAGAGTTAGGACTCCACCTCCTGTCCCCACCTCAGGGAGTGGTGGGGAACCAACGTGAGTTATGGGGTCATGGCGGTCTCACTGGCCCTGTGACCAAGGCTATATTCTTTCCCCACTACTGGTT